ATCCTACTATGTATCGAGTGTTATCCTACTCTGTACTGAGTGTTATTTACTGCTTTACCTCATTCCGCTTATATATACTTGTAACCTGTTCAATTATAATATATATACGCTTTATCATTCTTTGTCTTTCTGCTTCGTTTTCCTTTCTTTCTCTCTTGGCTGTGAATCTCTCACAATAGGTGGGCATGACATCCGAAAGTCATCGTGGGCGGGCGCGGGTGGGCGAAGCCCGTCCGAGTAAAGCATAGATTACCAATCCCCATATATGATTTTGATCAAGAACTCTCATCTATCAAGCTAAGCCCCGAGAGCATACCGACGATCCGATAGATTATTCTTAGCTTTAATGTCTTGTTCAATGCATCGACATGAAAACACCAATATCCAAATTCTTATTTTACGCCAATCCCATATTCCCATTGGTCCTTTATTAAGGATTATTTAGAAATATCAACTAAGGGGTGTAAGTAAATAAAATTGACTAGTGGAATAAATTTGCAACGGTGGAATTAAGATTTTTGTTTAATTTCTAATGGGAACACAAATCATTGAATTAATTTAAAAAAACATTCAAAAGCAAATCTTATATCAAGATCCTGATTCATTAATTTTTTGCATTTATGCAAGCATTATTATGAGTGATACGTCACAAAAATATTGTCTGATCAGGCATGAATCTCGAAGCAAAATTAAGTTGAAATATTCTAAAATTAAATATGAGATTGTCCAAATTCTTATTTCAGCAAACTTATAGTTGAACTGAAAGTATCGAAAAGATCAACCCAACGACACAAAAAATCAGTCAAATTCATGAGCAAATGAGCACAAATCAAGGGTCCAAAGTATATTGGGAGGGTTCAAAGCATAATTTGAATTACCAAACGAATTCCAAATGTAACATACTTTAATCAAATTAATCAGTTCGACAAGATGAATCCAACGAGCCCAAGATCGCCGAATTCTGATATCATTAAGACATTCAAATGATCAATAAACGGTCCACGATCAAAGGGATCAATATTGGCCTTCTATTTAAACCACTCACATCTTGACATTGATCCTTTTAAATATTTATAAGTCATGCCACTCTCAAAAACTTATAAATAGCCTTTATTCTTCTCACGAAGGGAGTAAGAATAAGAGAAAAAAGAAAGAAGGAGAAGGGAAGAGTTTGAGAGTTTACTTGCCACCGACCACCGCCAGAGTTCTTCCCAACCATTGATGGACTTTCACTCGTTTGTTGATCACTGTCAAAGTTCTACCCAACCACCGTCGGACTTTCCTCTGTTTGTCGACCTTGGTTGCACTTTCACCGGACTTCCGCCCAGCAACCAACTATCGTCGGACTTTGTTGGACTCTCGCCCGATCATCGATTGTCGCCAACTATGACCTCTACGACCAACATCACTGGCTACGGTCCTTTCAGACCTCCATAGCTAAATAACAATCATCATGTCCTCTGTCATCCAATGACAATAGTCCTTTCGATCTTCGTGGCCAGACTACGAACTTTACTACATCCATTGCTCGCCGACTACGCCCCTTCCGACCTCCGTCGCCATATTATGGTCTTTCCGACCTCTGTCACTCTCCGAATATGGTCCTTCCGACCTTGGTCATCGGACTACAGTCTTTCCAACCTCCGACACCATCATATGATTCTTACGACCTCCATCGTCAAGCACTGATCTTTCTGACATATGTTGCCTACCGACTACGGTCCTTCCGACCACTTTTACCCGACTATGATTTCTCCGACCTCCATTGCCCGCTTACTTTGGTCTAGCCGACCAGATAAACATGTCAATGCTATCTCTTTTCCACCATGTAATGCACTCTTTATAATGCATATTTGAAACATCAATCTAAGACCTTCCCATCAAGGAAGTGCTTCATTTGTAATCGACTACAAACACTAGTGGATTTATTCAAACTGGGTGAGGCCCCATGATTTTTTTCCCATTTTCTAGGTGTTTCCACATTAAAAAACTTCTGATGTTTCTCTATCATCTATTTGTGTGCTGAGGTTTCATTTCTTGCTAAGACATAAAATATTCTTTCTCTATCGCTGCAAATTTCTTAGCTCGCAACAATGAGTGATGTTAACTTAACCTATATGAACATGAAATTTATCATTCTTTTTTTTTTCAATTCCATATTCTTTTTGTGTCAAAACTGAAAACTTATCATTTTTTTTCTTAATCCAGGGTCTATAGGAATTTCATCAAAATTCAATTCTAAGCGAGCTTGTTTGGATTCATATTAAATCGGGTCGGGTTCGGATTGACCCGAAAACCCAAAGGTGACTCGGGCTGACATGTTTAATATTATCCTATTTAATATTTTTTTTTTTTTTTTCAAATCTTATTCAAAGTTTCAAACTATCTTATTTAATATAATATATAAGTATATTAATGTAAGTTTATAAACTGGCCACTACAGATTAATTTTTTTAATCTTGTTCTTATTCTAGTTGAATTTAAATGATTTGTTTATTTATTTTTATCTTAGATGCATTGTTTTATCTATCCAATGGTCAAGTGTCCAATAATTTTTTTAAATGCATTGTTTTATCCTGCGATTTTCTGTCAGCTAACATGCCTGAGACCCCGACGGCTCTGTGGTAGCTCACAATCACATGACATTGCTATCCCAGGACCCATCCCCTACGTCTATGCAAACACCAAACTACAACCTGGACGAATTCTTGATCTTCCACATCATTAAAAAGTGGCGTATTTGTGTTCGCGGGTCTGGTCGGGTCAACTCGATAACCCACACGGGTCGTGTCCAGGTTGGATTTCCTGACCCATTTTTTTTCTTAACCCGTTTAAACTCAGGTCAATACGGGTTCGACCAGAACCCGAGCCGCGGACCCTTTTTGACACCCCTAGCCGAAGCCCATTTCATTTAAGTGAAGTAAAAAATACAAGTGAGTAAAAAGAAGCAAAAGACTAAATCCCAGCTAGCTAATCACATCAAAATGCCAACGGTGGGGTATAAGGCAAAATTTTAATAAAAAAATACAGGAAAACCGAAAAAAAAGACTCGTAATGCAGATAAAAAATGAGCATCCAACAAGCGGAATTGTCATGGATAATCCCCTGGTTGCCAAAAAGTGACCGTCTAAAGGGTAGCTGGTTTGTATCAGCATTCATCATTGTCCATCAAAAAATCGTCGACAATGAAGATCAACATATAGGCCTCGATTGCTACAAAAGACCATCCAAAAGGCCTCAATAACCGAAGAAGAAGAATCTCTCAGAGATCACCCTGAAAATTTTGAGCAAGCAATAGGTTCATAAACCAGGTATCCATCCCAAAAAGACTGATAATTTAGAGAAGCAGGTGTTGAAATAAGTGAAAGCTCTTATATTTTGATGTTTTAAAAATGGCAGCCTTCTTAATTTTGCAGCAATACTAGTGTGGCAATTAAAAGAGTGACCAAATAATATGTTGTTTCTAGCTCTCCAAATGAAAAAGATGGTTGCGCAAGTCAACAAGTGATAAAGGTTTCTCATATAATTAGAGGCATTGAGTGTCACGCCCCAAGATCTAACTTGGAAAGAATGTCAATCTATTTCTCAAACAATTTACCAGAGCTATCTAAAACCTTCAATTAAACGGTCTATCAAACATCTATAAAATTTAAAACATCAATATACAAGTCGATTCATCTCAAAAGGTCATGTACAATACTCAGGAACTACACCACAATCACCAGTACTGAAATCTATCCTGAGTACAAAAGAATCAAAATCATCAAAAGACAAAAACCTGAAGATCCGGATCAATTCCTATCTTCTGCTCCCTTGCCCTGACCTGAAAATATCAACCACATATAATGAGCTTTACAAAGCCCAGCAGGTCACCTAATACCTATAATTGAGATCAAAGCACGGCGATGCTATCAATATGCATGTCAGTCAATCAAATCATATCAGTCAATGGTCAATTAATCTATGCAATACGAAAATCCATAGTCAATAAAACCAGTCAATGCAGCAGCAAGCAAATCAATAAACCAAGCTCAATCAATCCACGTCAATCTCGAAGAAATCCGTACACAGAAGAAAATCAATCAATCCGTCAAATCAGTCAATCCGTCCGTCAAATCAATCCGTCAAATCAGTCAATCAAATCAAATCAAATCTATACTATTAAGTCGATAAAATCAATCGAAAAAGTAATACGATAAATCTCAATCTATCCTATCAATAAATATAATTATTTTTAAAAATAAATTTAATTATTAGGTGCAGAGTGCACACCATCCGTACAAATATTAACGAGTGCTCGGTACCCAGTAGTACCCAGCGATATCGAGCACCTGTCAATACTTATGATGGACAATTCTCCGTCCACACTCCACACCTAATAATCTCTCTACAATTGCAGTTCTCCGTTCTGTGCAATCTCCGCCACAAAGGCTTTCCTTCATAATTATTACCGTCACTTTACTTCATAAGAATTAATCTTCCTCATGAAGTCTTCTAATCTGCTATACGAAAGTCTTTGCCCTTCTCTTTGAGGCTAAAACAGTAATCCACCAAGTCAGTAACGCCCTTTCGGCGTCATCCTCGTACGGCCGTTAACCACTTTCCAGATTCTTTACTTAGCCGTGAGATCTGGTTACCAACCCCAAAAATATGCATCATATTAAAAAAAAAGGCATAATTAATAAATATGCAGTATATATTAATTGTGAAAACTTATATAATCGTTATTAAAAAAATAATTAAAAGATTTATTTTAATACTTAATTATTTAAGTTTTTAGTACAGTTAAAATTCTAAAATAGATTAACATTATTATTTTATATCTTATGTAATAAACTAATAATAACAAAAGTTTAATCAGATAAAATAAAATAAAATAAAATAAAGCCTCTGACGCGCGAAACGAGTCGTCGCGAGTGATGGTTAAAGGAGGGAATTAGAAATTATAGCATTCCATTTAAAAGAAAAAAAAAGCCAGGTCATAAGTCTTTTTTATTTGGGAAATTATCAGTCTTTTAAACAAGCTGTTCGGCCTCGAGGCTTCTTTAACACGCTATCTCACACGATTTAGTACCCTCAATCGACACAGATCGCCTCGACGTCTGTTCTGACCGAAGAGTAGTTGATGTCTAGTCGCGGCGGGGGAAGACGTGGAAGCCGCGGCGGCGGCGGAGGCGGCAGCAGCGACGCCCATTATGGGACGGGTATGCATCATCAGCCATCGCACGGGGAGCGTGGCGGTAGAGGACGAGGCAGGGGAGGCGGTGCGCCTCCTCATCATCAGGAGAGGACGAGGGCTTACAATTTGCCGGAGTCTTCATCAACAACTCTAAGTAGGGAGTTAGAAGAACGGCTTCATATCAGTGGATCTTCCGGCCATCCGGCGCCTACGCCGGGAACCCCATCCGGACCTCCAGTGGAGGCTCCCTCAGTGCAAGCATCTGAGGCTACCGGCACTTCACTCCCACCGGCGTCGAGCAAGGCTCTGGTTCATGCGCCTCGTCCGGGGTTTGGAACGGTCGGGTTGAAATGTAAGGTTCGCGCTAATCATTTCCTAGTCCGCGCCGCGGATAAGAATATATCTCAATACGAGGTGAGGCTGCTCTTTCCTATACTTGTTTTTTTTTTCTTTTTCATTGTGTGCGATTTCATTCTTTCGATATTTTAATTAATTTCTTATACTACTCCTTGATTTGATTTTTTTGATATTTTTAAGTGATTTAGAACTATTTGGAGCTTTTTGGATGCAGGATTTAGCCTAAATCCTGTGAAGCAGCAAAAATGTAGAACAGCAAAAATTGTAGAAATATACATATAACGACAGAGAAAAAATGTTGTTAATTAATAAATAGAGTTAATAGATGTTAATATGTATAATTATATTAGTTTATTTAGGATTAATAAAAAAATTAATTAAATTGTGTATTTTATTAGTTTAGTAAATTTTTAATCAATAATTAGTTTGGATGTTAATATATAATAAGTATGTTTCAGTATGATTTAATTTATGTTATGTTGAAGATAGATTTAAGTTTTAATTCTTTCTCAGTGAGAATAATGAAGCAATATGCTATTGAAGAGTTTTACACAAAAGATGATTTTAGGAGATGTGATGCTCCAATTAATATTGTTGAAATTTACATATGGGAAAATTAAGGATTGTAGATACAAAGTAGGAAAATGTTCTAAATACGTTTTCATGAATTAAGGTTTAATAAATCTAGTGCAGGATATCTAGTCTTTTCGCTACTAAAAATAATGATGAATAAGCCCGATCTTTGTTTTTTTTTAATATATACAATTTCTAACAATATGAGTAGGGCAATATATTTTCATTTAGTTGAATGAGTATGGCCAGAAATAAAGGTTAATTCCTTTACGTTGATTCCTGAAAGATTTCTAATGGTCCTTTTGTTTTTGATAGTTTTATTTGCCAATATGTGAGGTGGCTGTTATGAGAAGCAACTCGGTTTGGTGTAAAATTTCCTAGTGTTTTGTTGGAAGTCTCTTGATTAGGAAAAATTTAAATTGTGAATTGATAAATCATGTGAAACTAGTGGTTTTTTTTCTTCAGATTACTAATGATCTTGTTCTTCTAAAGCTATAGTATTTCCGTCTTAATTACTCCTCTGTTATGAAAATATTTAATTACATTCTGAGATTATATTGTTCTTTGCTTTATTGACCAAGTAGTTCAAAATTCATCCTGAGGTGAAGTCTAGAGCAATAGGCAGGGCCTTGATGAAGAAATTGACTACGCAATTTGGCGAGTCACACCTCGGTCAACGTATGGTTGCATATGATGGTCGTAATATCTTTTACACGGCTGGATCTCTTCCATTTTCGTCAAAAGATTTTGAGTTAATTTTGTCAGATAGAGATGGGTAAGAGTTTAGTTTAGTTTCATTCTTTTGTGATGTCCAAATTGTTATACTTATTCATATGGTATTAAATAAACTTTTTTTTTATGATTTGATTTGAAAATAGAGGAGCATGTTGGGCATCTCCTACATTGTATATCAGTAAAGTTTGATACTTTTTTATCCAAAAAGGGAGTTCTACTGGGAAAACTATTAGGTGCATAATACACACTACCAATAATGGTGTGTACAAGCGTGTATAGAATTTGATGTGTGCATAGCTGTCTTAAAGCATTGTACCTATTTGCATCCTTTTACTCGGTTATTTCACTTTTTCTCGTGCATATTGTGCACCTAATAATTTTACATCCATTTGCTTTACACTTATACACGCTTCTGCACAAATCTCATTCACACCTATACACACCCCACCTATACCACATCTTATTCTACATGTGTATTATGCTTCTCCAATAATTTCTTTCCATGTGCATAGGCTTTTGCCTATACACATACCTGCACAAATCTTATTCACACCTATACAGACCCCACTTTTTCCACATTTTATTATATATGTGATTATGCTTCTCTAATAATTTCTCTCCATGCGCATAGGCTCTTGCTAATGCTTAGGCAATAGTTTGTTAATTTTCATGTTTTTTATTTAATGTCGTATAATTTTTTACAGTCGGGACAAAACTTACAGAATTTCTATCAAATTGGCAAAAGCCTTTGATTTGTATTCTCTATGGCAATTTTTGAGGGGGGAGCAGAGAGAATGCCCTCATGATATCATAGCAGCTCTAGATGTGGTCTTGAGAGAGTCTCCTTCGAACAAGTATTGAAATAATTCAAACTATATTCTGATATTTCTTTTTTTTTTATGCTTATATTTTTTAAATTAAAATTATCTGGTATTCTTGTATTAGCTATGTTACAATCTCAAGGTCATTCTATTCACCCGAGTTTGGCTCCAATAATATTGGCGAGGGTTTAGAATGTTGGAGGGGTTATTTCCAAAGTCTTAGACCAACGCAAATGGGATTGTCTTTGAACGTTGGTAATAATTTTTTTTTTAAATTTTAATTAAGCTATGTCTTCTACATGCTTGGTTTATCTTATGATTGTTTATTTTATGTTGTAATTTTGTCATGATAAATGTGGCCTTTGTTTTAAATTTGCAGATATTTCAGCAACATCATTCTACAAGCCGGTAAATCTTCTAGACTTTGTTAAGGAATATCTTAATATTGAATCTATTCCTCGGAGTTTAACAGAAAAGCAACGGCTTGAGGTATTAGTTTCTATTTTAATTTGAGTAGTTTTTCTTTCCGGCTTGAATCATATGCTTTCATTTATTATATTCAAACTACATGATTTTTTTTCTTTTTGCTAATATCATATAGCATATAAGAGTAGTGTACCTCTGCAAAATATTTTTTTTTTTATCTTAGTTATTTAATTTAAGTCACTTGTATGAATCTCTGGAATTTCAGTTACAAAGGGCGTTGAAAGGGGTCCGTGTTGAAGCAACTCATATTTCAAATATGTGCAGACGCTATAAAATCACAGGGATTACATCACAGTCTGCGAGTCAGTTGATGTATGCTATTTTCTTGTTTCTTTTTGTCATTGTTTTTCGGATCCTAAAAAAAAGTTTGATTTTTCAGCTTATCTGGCCATTTTTAGTCATTACTTTTCTTCAACAGGTTTACCCTTGATGATCAAGAAGGAGCTACGAAGTCTGTGGCCCAATACTTCAGAGAAAAATACAATTGTATTCTTGTGTATGATTCGCTGCCTTGCATAAAAGCTGGTAGTGATAGCAAACCAAAATACTTGCCAATGGAGGTTCTTTTAAACTACAATACAAATTATTTGCTTCCCAATTTTTGTTCAGCTTTGACCCTATAGCTCATAGTTACTTAGGTATGCAAAATTGTGGACGGACAAAGGTATATTAAGAAGTTGAATGAACGACAAGTAACTCAAATATTGAGATCAACTTGCAAGCGTCCAGCTGAGAGGGAACAAAGCATTTTGCAGGTTGGTGCATTTGATTTAAATCGAATGTATAACTTTACTTTGTTGATGTTTGAGCCTTGTTCTTAACTTTGTTGAATCTAGAATTTGTTATACTGATATCTCAATTGTTCTTTTAGTTGGTCAAGAAAAATAATTATAACATTGATAAGTATGCTAAAGACTTTGGTATTGTGGTTGAACCTAATCTTACCACGGTTGAAGCACGAGTGCTACCTACCCCAAGAGTAAGTAGCTTACCCAGTCATTATTTTATCATTTCCTAGTCAGATCAAATTAATCTCTTCGACGTGTTTTCTTATATTTAGCTAAAGTATCATGATAGTGGTCGTGAGAAGATGTGTCAACCCACTGTTGGACAATGGAATATGATTAATAAGGTGACTTTGGTCTTTAATTGATGCATTAAATTGCCCTAGACCATTCTTAGCTGCAATGAATTTAACCAATTTCTATATTTTTTGTTTAAATAATTGTTGTTTTATTGACATTAAAGGAATCCTTGTTTTGCTTGTGCAGCGAATGTTCTTTGGTGGTACTGTTGATGCTTGGGCATGCATAAGCTTTTGTCGTCTTAATAGAGATATTGTTCATAATTTCTGTCGTGAACTAGTTTCTATGTGCAACAACATTGGAATGGTCCTTACATTTAATTCCTTCTGTCTTGAATTGTGGTTTATACCCTACCATTCGTGGGCAGCTCATTATCATTTAAATGTAGGTTTTTAATCAAAATCCTGTAGACATTTATTCCCGATCACCAGCACAAATAGAAAATAGCTTAAGGGAATTGCACCATCAGTCTATTGAAGTCTTGAAGCGACAGAACCAGAAGCATAAGCAGCTTCAGTTGCTAATTGTTGTTCTTCCAGATGTTAAGGGTTCATATGGTATATGCCCAGTCTTGAGCTTACTTCTTTTATTTCTAATTCTTCACTTTGAATTCTTATCTTTTGATCTTTGTTTCACAGGAAGGATCAAAACAATCTGTGAAACTGAGCTTGGTCTTGTTACTCAATGCTGCCAGCCAAAAAACGTATTCAAGTCAAATAAACAATACCTTGAAAATTTAGCTTTGAAAATCAATGTGAAGGTTTGTAATTTTTTCAGTTATCTTTTGCAGGAATATTATTCTTATGCTGCTTTTTAACTTTCCCTTCAATGCAACAGGCTGCTGGTTGTAACACTGTTCTTGAAGATGCCGTATATAAACGAATCCCTCTCATATCAGATGCACCCACTATTATATTTGGGGCTGATGTGACCCATCCAGCCCCAGGGGAAGACTCTTCCTCATCCATTGCTGCGGTGTGTTACTCTTTGTGTCTAATAATGTTGGTGGCTCTTCAGTTATACTTTTTTTTTTACCCGTTGGATTATCCTGTAGGTGGTTGCTTCTATGGATTGGCCCTGGGTAACCAAGTATAGGGCTCTTGTATCTGCCCAGCTGCACAGACAAGAAATTATAGAGGATCTCTTTAAAATTACTGCAGATCCCCAAAAGGGCAATATTCCCGGGGGGATGATAAGGTTGGTCTAACAGCAATGGACAGTTACTGAAGAGTAGAGTTTGACTTTAAACTATTAATATATATATTTTTAATATCAACAGGGAGCTGCTTTTAGCTTTCTTTAGGGAGACAAAACACAAACCTCATCGCATTATATTCTATAGGTTTGTTATGTGATAGTATTTTGAGCTTCTTACTATATTTAAGGATGCACAGCTGGTAAATCAAGGAAGATGTGATTATTTATTGCAGGGATGGTGTTAGTGAAGGCCAATTCAAAGACGTGCTTTTGTTAGAAATGGAAGCTATACGAAAGGTTATTTTGTGGTTATAGTTATTATAATATGTTCTAAATTTTGCTATTTATAATATGGCTTAACTGACAACTGATTTATATAGGCTTGTGCCTCTTTAGAAGAGGGGTATCTTCCACCAGTTACCTTTATAGTGGTGCAGAAGAGGCACCATACTCGTTTATTCCCTGAGGTACATGGTAATCGAAATATGACTGATAAGAGCGGGAATATATTACCAGGTACTGTTTATTTCACTAGAGATTATTTTGTGCTGACATCGAACACAACTTACCGTCCAGAGGCGAATCAGGTGCAACCATGTCATCCAGTATCGAGCAGTACCGAGCCGCGGTACCGAGTAGGGGGTGACGTGGTACATTTTCATTGGATTCTGGATGACGTTCGGTGTCTGCACAGAATAATTTGCCTTATTTCATGGCTCAAGTAATTTTATGTTTCAACTTCTCATGTCATTTCTGTTCTTAGGCACGGTTGTTGATAAAAATATTTGCCATCCCACCGAGTTTGACTTCTACCTTTGCAGTCATGCGGGTATTCAGGTAAAATTTATTTATTGTATTTAGCTTTACAAAGTATGATTCTGCTCGTATGGCTGCTTTGAATGACCAAGACTTGCAGGGCACAAGTCGGCCTGCTCATTATCAAGCTCTCTATGATGAAAACAATTTTTCTGCTGATGGACTGCAGATATTAACCAATAACTTATGCTACACGTAAGGGTGTTCTATTTACTACTATTGAGTTTTTTTTTCCTAAACTTATTGTAATATTATTTTTTTGGACAGTTTTGCTCGATGCACACGATCGGTATCAGTAGGTTGTTGTCATCAACTATTCTTTCCACTCTTGATTTTTGTGTTGAGATCAGGCTTGTGGCCTGACGGTGGATGGAAAACCTTCTTCCTACTCTCGCTTGGGCTCGAATCCCTATATCTGTCCAAAGATTTTTTGTGTTTGACTTATTTATCACCATTATTAATCTTGTTTTGCAGTTCCTCCAGCGTACTATGCACACCTTGCAGCTTTCCGTGCGCGGTGCTACATGGAAGGAGAGAGTGAATCTGGATCAAGTCAACATAGGGGAGTAACACGCCAGCGAACTGCGGCTATTTCAACCCTTCCAGCAATCAAAGAAAACGTCAAGGATGTGATGTTTTATTGTTAAAGATAAGCCGTGGATGATTTAAAGAAGTATAAACTTTTAGTTTTTTTTTTGCTGTGGTGAAAGGATAGTTTGCACTAGTACACATAGAAATACTTGGATACATCAAGTCTTTCATTATTTTTGCAGCACATTATTTTGAGTTTTTTGCTATACATAAAATTTTGTTTGAATCTCTCTGTTCTTATATTGTATAAACTATTATGAGTTTGTGGGGGATGTTAAGAGTTATTAGTATTAATATTGTTTTGTATATTTAGATATTTATTATGAATTTATAATATTTATTGGGATTCTCTTTTATTATATTTATAAGCTGATTATTATTTTGGCCTTATATAGTCATGATTGCATTAGAATTAATAAAAAAATATAAATTACTATCTTTTTTTTTTATGAGATATCGTGGCTGCATTAAATAAAAATGGTATGCTGGTAGGGAACATAAAGGCTTTAACCGTAAGTTGTTGCAATTTAAAACTTCATATCTGCGAGATTGTCGTTGTTGCAAAGCATCCGTTTGTGGCCAAAATTGCTATGTGGAGTTCTTGTCATGATATTAAACATCTTATTATGTGAGGGTAATTTCATTGGAGGAATTAGGTTAAGTGCCTGCTGGATGGTATGGTATATTTTGGCTGGTTGGATTTTTTACTTGTATTGTTTCAATTAAAGCTACAAGAGAACCAAACATTCGATGAGCTATTTGGTGCTCGGTTCGATTAGAACTCGTTTGTGATCGTTTAACTAATTAAACAAACAAACATGAATAATATTTTAAATACTCGGCTCGGTTCGGTTTGTTTGCCATTGTAGTTTCAATTGGTTGCTTGAATGGCTATCTCCACAGAGCACTCATCTGGGTTTTGTTGTTATGGGCACATGACTTTGTTGGCGGTTCTGAGCCTAAGATAAATCTCATATTCTGGTGGTGGTTGGAAAGTCTGAATTTTGTCTGTTATGGGTTGTGCGGTAAATTAAGGGCTCTTTTCGATAGTTCTTTCTAGCAATCAAGGGGGCTTATCCTGATCGAGTTTTAATCTGGTGTTTTGGATGTCCATTCTGAGTTCATTTTTGGACTCTTTTATTTTTCCATACTTTTATTTTTTGCTAAGCTTTTGGCTTTTAGCTGGGTACAAGAATGACAAGTACTTTTTTTTTAGTTTGGTTATATTAGTTCTTGTTGTTGGTGGTGGAGATAGTGGTGGTGGTCTGTGGCATTGTTCGTCAATGGAGGTGGTGGCAATGGTTGAAATGTTGGGTAGTGGCGATCGTGATTTGGGGCAGCATTAAGCAAGGTGGTTTGCGGTGAAAACATGTTCTATCTAAAATTAGGAGAGTGTACTTGTGATCTAAAAAATAAATTAAAATGTTTGCACTACGTGCAATATTTTCAAAACCCATATTATAGAAATTTTATAGCATTATGCACAGTATCAGTTTATCCTATATTTTGCATTGTGCACAGTATAGTTGGACCAAATGTCTAAACAACAAAAAAATATTTCATCCATATTAAAATAAATTTTATAAATTTGTGTTTAATATATTATAATTCTGTTTCTCTAATAGAGAGGAAGGTGAACATCTTGCAATCTGCAGGTTTTTTTTTTATGCACAGTATCAGTTTATCCTATATTTTGCATTGTGCACAGTATAGTTGGACCAAATGTCTAAACAACAAAAAAATATTTCATCCATATTAAAATAAATTTTATAAATTTGTGTTTAATATATTATAATTCTGTTTCTCTAATAGAGAGGAAGGTTGGATTCTTATTTCAATTAGACTGGACTCTATAATTTTTTCCTCGCTAGATTTTCTATGTTAAAATTTTAAAGTTTTTGGAAAATATCTCTCCATCTCAACAAATTTGTAGCACCTGGCAATATTGAATGGTATTTAATAAGAAGGTTGATAAGCTGCCAAGCTTATCAAGCAGTTGGCTCACTGCACCATTTTCCCTGACATAGTTCGTTGCACCTTTTCAAAGCTGAATACACTTAGCCATTTGATCTATGACCAAATTTTCTAACCATCTGATTATAGCTGCATTGTATCTTCTTCCTCATAATATATATGTTGGGATTGTAGAACTAGATATGCAGGAAACTATTTTCCTTTGAGTTAATAAGATGAGTTTACGTTGAGCTCTCTACATTTCTACTATTGCATTATCCTTGCAATCTGCAGGTTTTTTTTTATTCTTATCATGGTATCAGAGCTTTATGTTGACCTCGTTTTTCGTACGAGTACACCGAGGGTCTTTGATCGGTCTAACTAAGCCTCGTCGAGTCCAATGCGAGGTCGAATCAACTCGACTTGAGTCGGATTAGACTCGACTACGTTTAATTAGGCTCGATTAATTTATTCTGGTTGCGCCGAGTCCGATTTGATTTAAATTGATGTTGATTTTGGGTGGGTTCAATTTCACGCGATTAAATTCATTGAGCCAGCTCGAGCCCAAACTAACTCAAATCAATTCAAATTTGGACTTGAGTCTAACCCGATCCATCCCATATTAGTTTAATTGGGTTTCAATTAAATCCATTTGACTTTTTAAGCGGTTTGAATTTGATTCCTAAATCAAGAAATGCAACCGACGGCTCCGATTTAGTTAAAAATTTGATTCTGCCGTTGTCGCTGTCCCCAGCCGCGTGATATCCTCGCTTTAGAAAGAAGTGCAGGGTGCGAGGCAGAGTGAGCAGAGCTCACTTTCATGATCGGAGTGTGCATCACTTTCATGATCGGGAGAAGCAGAGGCTCGTCTCTTATGCAGCGAAAGGCGGATATCGCGCAGCTTGGTTCACCGAGTCCGTCGGATACAAGGCATGGAACGGCTCTCAGCGTATTGAGATTCGGACATCTAGCCCCCTGTTCGGTCTTCCTCTCTCGGCCCCTCTCTGAAATTCGCAAGCCCCTCCCTCTCCCTATCAGCTTTAAGTTTTTCGCACAAGACTAGGCGGACCCGAACGCCTCTCCCTCTCTTCTTCCTCCGTTCGTGAGCCCCGACCGACGCCAAAGCCTTCTTGCTTCCAGGCGACGGATCCACCCCGGTCGCCCTTCTCTGCTCGTGAGCCGGTCAACGTCGAGCCTTCTTCCTCTCTTGGTTTCGCGTGCCCAGACCGAACCCGTCGCCTTGCCCGACGCCGACCCGAGCTCCTACCTTGGCCGTCGGTTTCCCTCTTCCTTGGAGCAGGTATACTCCTTGTCTTCCCTTTCCCCTTTCTACTTCTTTTTCGTCTGTTTATTCCTCTTCTTCTTCTTGCCTTTCTTCCTTATTCTTCTCCTACAGCTACTTCTTCTTCCATCTCTTCTTCTGAATTCTCTTCCTCTCCCTCCATGCATTCTTCTTATTTCCCTTTTCTTTGCAAACGATTTCTAAACAAAAAAAAAAATCAAAAGCATGATCATGTCTAGTCTCTCATAGAGTTTGGAAAACTATAGGGTATTTCATGGCAGATTTAAGCTATTTGTACCTAAGTGATGTTTGAGTAGTATGCTTCTTACGATTCACTTTCTTAATGTATTTTACATTGTCATTTACGAGTAGTTTGATGGATCGTTTCTTTATGGCATCAAGAAGGAGTTTGATGGTTTAATCTTTGTTCTTGATATATATTCCTTTATAGAATGCCAACTCATATGCATGTTTTCTCTAGAGAGTGATGAAGAAGAATATGAGTTGTGCTTGATCTATTTTTATAGCCATTCATGATTGTTGGGTTTTGAGATGAGTTGTTATGCTTCTCTGTTTTGAAGTCTTGGTGAGCTTTGTTTGGATTGTGGAAAGTCATAAAAATCCATGTTATTCATTATCAAAGTATGCATACAAACCGTTTGTGATAATGTCTCTTGGAAGAGAAACATGTTTAGATATAAAGATAATGGAGATTTGAGATTATATTTCGATTTGATATATGATAAATCTTGTGAAAAACTTATCCTATTAGTATGTATACATTTCACTTTTCCTATGCGGTCACAAACCTGTTATGTCTTGAGAAGATATATTCATGCCATAATGATTGTTGATGAGGATTGTTATCATGATTTCTTGTATAAACTTTTCATTAAAAAAAATGTCATGTGATGTAGATATTGCTAGTCATGATAATGAGCTTCCATGTGCTTCGTATCCTAGTTGTGATTCATATGTTTATAATATTCCAATAAAAATAAGTTTGTTTGTTGGAAAGGTTTACGCTAGAAAATGCTTTGTATGCACTGGTCCATTCATGCCTTACACTTGCATGAAAAGAAATCTCTATATGGTGGGGTTCTTGAGAAGCCCTATCATGAGCATTGAGAATATTAATGTTGCATGCATTTAGCTTTGGAGAATTGTGCTTGATGAGGAGAGGCTTTCATGTTTTCTTAAGTTTTGGTTTTTTCTTTATTTGTATGAGTCTTATGTTGAAATTCACAGTTATTTTGCTTACCTTAAAGCTCTATACAATGATCTCCTTCATATAAAAGTTTCCCCAATACGTTGTTCAAAAATTTATCAACAGAAATCTGAAAATAAATTTAGTTATTTGATGAAATATGTGAGATTGAAGGTCATTACTTCACGAATCATGTTTCTTTTATTCAATACTTGTGTATGGATCTTGTTCTCTCAAAAAAGAAAAGAAGTAAAAATGTTGGGAGACTTTCTTCTTTAAATTCATGTTGCATTAGATATCTTTATGCATTGTTTTATATAAGGCAACAAAGTGGAGGATATTTGGAATAATTCATCTAGTTGGGTGAACATCTTGCTACTTGAATTATGCATATAACACTATGTCGATCTTTGCCTCTTTGTAGTCTTTACATGCGCGATCTTTTAAGACTTTTGTTGGAAAGAATTGATATTTATTTTGACACATGAGATGTATAATTTCTTGCATCAAATTGAGTGATATTAGAGTGTGTTTGAGACGAGTTTTCTCTTTGACGAATTTTCTACAATCTTCGTTGGTTTTATAGTTTCTTTGCATACTGATGAAATGATAAGGGCTAACATCAATTGCATGCAACCTTTTCTTTATATATATGTGAATGATGGTTTATGTTAGAAAATCTTCATGATTCTTTTTATATTAGAGAATTTTATGGCTTGTTGGAAGATTTCTTTGAATGGCTCTATTATTGGAAACTTTATAAAAGTTTTGCGAGTTGTTTGCATCGAGAAGTTTTATGATATGTCTTGTGAATGTTTTATGATAGAAGGTTTCATAATGCCTTCTCATTTGAGAAACTTTCACAAATTTACCCCACGCCAAATATAAAAGCACTTTGTTGTTTTGTGTCGGAAAAAGTTTTGGTGGGTTGCTTTGAAAGAGGTTTTATATGCAATTTCATTTGGAATTTTTCATAAGTCATTTTGGGATTTCTAGTTTTATGATTAACTTTATGTAGCAGGTCTCTTTATATCTTTTTGGATCGAAATGACATTTAATGTGTGGGTTGCCTTTCTCTTGTTCGTATTTGCTTCCAAAGTAGGGGTTTGGATGAAAAAAGGGGTTTGTTTTGAGTTTTAGTTTTGAGAGCTTGTTCCCCTTCGCCACTTTGGACTTTATTTAGAAAATAATTTTGTTAGTTTTGTTAAATGTGTCAAGTGTTTTATTTGGAACGTGGGGACAACAAAGGGTATTACAAACATCTTCTTCCATATTCACATTATATTGAATTAGGGTAAAAGGTGTTTTAGAGGCATACTTGATTTTAAAGAGGTATGCCCAACAATAAAAATGCCTACATTCCTTTTATTTTTGATTTTCATTCATTTATTTTTTTTCATTTTGTCATTTTTTTCTTGCTTTTAGTCTTTATATCGCTTCTCTACTTATTCTTTAAAATCAAATGCTTGCAAAAATAAGAAAATCCAAAAAGAAGACAAGTGGCCCACTCGATGTGTAAACAATAAAAAAGTACGTTCATAATTAATTGTATTTCCATTTTTGTTATTATTTGCTTACATATAAAATGTGCTGTAATACACATCTTTTTTGTGTCTTGCAAGGTGATCTTTGGAGAGCAAAGGAGGAGCATCGAAGCACTAGGAGAAGGAGCATGGATAGTCGAATCCGACTATCAGTCGCTCCCATTCAGTTTGGTGGGGGCGCTACGGGTGGAACCACCGGGTCATAGCCCCCGGTGCTGTGAGTCACCTTAAACTTAGAAAGCCTTTAGGGGCTTTAATGGTTGTACACTCCATATCTTTTAGGACCATATAGAAACTTCATTTTATAATTATGATTATTTTTTTATTTGAAATCCCCTGTTGACACACGTACGAATGTCCTAAGAGTTAGAAACAGAACTTCTTTTCGTCCAATAACTTTAGTGACACCCAAGTACAAAAATTAAGGACTGAGTCTTAGATAACATAAACTTAGGGTGCATGCTCCTTCTAGGATAGAGATATCAAAATAAAAATTTAGTGCCCTTAATCTATTAATAATCAACCAATCAATTATAATCTAACTCTTAAAATGTATTAAAAATACTTAATTTTTAATTAAACTATAATTAACATATATAATCATTAAATTGCAAACTTAAACACATGCACCTAAATCAAGTCTAACTAATCTATTAATTATCCTCAAACACATTTAAAGTTTAAAATATATAGATTAAATTAGGAGGGTAAATCTAAACTAAAATTTGCTTGGCTAAAAGACTCCTAAGATTACTCAAACCTTAAAAGTAATTTTTTAAAATCAATTAACAAATTTCTTTATTAATAAATTACCTAATTCATATTTCTTTTTAATTTATAACCAACTAATTTAATCCAACAAAATTGGTTACCACTGGGTAATCTAGGTCTACGAGGCTATTAAATTAGCTCCAAGAAGAGTGAAATAAACCTCACGGTCTCGTTGAAAAACAAAGGTGATAATTAACTAAATACTAAAATAAAATCTTTTAAAAAATAATTCTTAAAATATTAATATTTAAACTTCAATTAAAATATTTAAATAATCAACTAACTCAGGCTACGAGACTTTGGATACTTTTCTATGATTTATTTTGATGTTGTGTTTACTTTGATTGCGCAGTAGAACTGACATATTTTTTATAGGTTTCTTTCTTGTATGCGCATGTGTTTGACTCATTGGGCTCTTAGGAATAAAATTTTTTTACTCATAATTGATAATAAAATTTTAAGAATTAAATAACATAAAAATATAACGATCTAGAGAATAACCAGAATTGTCCGGGGTCGTATGCATCTTAATGCATTCTCTCTTCCTTGTTTAGACTTTTCCCCGTTTGCGGGTGTAGAGTCCGAATAATCTGGCTTATGAGGATGAAGTGCAAGACATGAGAAAGCTCAGTCTTTCTAAAAAATTATTTTATGAGCCTTTTTAAAAATTTCATACATTTTGGATTTGGAGATTTTGATCAGCACGCATCGCATTAACAACTAACTAAAACTAATGTTTAAAAGCATTAGTTTTAGGAGCATAACATCATTCATAAGTGTGAGACCATTTAGGAACTTCTCTATATGTCGGCCTCAAATTCCAAAGTCTAACCACTCACCCATCTTTCATATGGACCGAATTTCATGGATTTTATGCGATTAGGTTATTTTAGCTGGCTTGCTTTTCTGGCAAAGCTATAAGCCCAGATTGCATTAGTTTGGTCGTAGATGTTAATATCGTGTGTATGATATTACATCTCTTATAGATTTAAGATCTAAGGCTAGTGGTGCGAGTGTATCACTACACGCCTTATTGGTGGGTATGCTCTCCATTCTTTTGGAGGCTATAAATCCTACCCATATGCGTCACACAGATGACACCACCTCCATCTTTTTCTCACGTATGTTTGAATGCAATTATCTTCTTTTTCTCCAATTTCCTCTTCTTCAGATCGGCCGAGTGTGAATTTGAGTCACGTATGTTGATTAAACCAAATTGAGCCTATCTTCTCCTTTGATTATAAAGCCTAGAAATTTTTCTTCGTGCTAAACTCATTCGAGAGAATAATGTAACATCCCTAATCGAGAGTCTTCTTAGTTTGAGGTCTAAGATGTAATTAACCATGGGAGCTTATGCCCGTGGGAAACCGATCTCCACATCAAATAAACTCTATTTGAGCTACTGTATCGAATGGGGGAAATCTCATGACTTTGATTAGGTTATACATATTATTATCCATTGAGGTGTGTAGGTGAAAGCCGTTATCCTCCATGGTTAATCATATGTATAATCTCATCTGCCATCCCATTGGCCTGTTTGTGTCGAGTGTAAAAGCCTATAATCATTTTGTCCTACGGGATAGTGCGGTCGTACCCTTTGCATTTGAACCTCACGAGCCGAATCCTTTGGGAGACCCACACTTTAAAGTTGATTTTTTTTTTCTACGGCATGTCCGTCATCATCACTTATGGCTGCTTCTTCTCTGTTTAAACTCTCATCACTAACAGTGATGTATCTATACCCTCCGAACTCAAATTCTTCATGACAAATGTTAAAAACATTGTCACTGTTCAGCTCACGGTTGATACTCATCATATCTAGAAGTTCAACTTCTCAAACTGTTCTTTGTAAACGACATTGATGGCTAACTCACTGGCGCAACTCCAAAACCCCCTAAACATATCTTATTTGATGACGACACCATTATTCCTAACCTCCTCTACCAAACATGGACCTTAATTGATGAGAACCTATAGCTGCGATCTATTCTACTATTTCCCCTTCTCAGTTGCCATACGTCCCAACCTATACTCTACTTCAAACATTTGGCTGACATTAGAGCGTCGGCTTTAGTCCACGAATAGATCATGAATTCTGCAACTTAAAAGTGAGTAGCATCAACTTCAACTCAAAGAAAATACTATGGTCCATTTTCTCTCTGATATCAAGCAGAAAGTCGATGCTATATCCATTGCAGGATCCTGTATTGACGTTGAAGACATTATTCTATATACCTTTGCTGGATTGCCCTCAACCTATCAGTCTTTTAAAATTGCTATACGTACTAAATTGCATCCAATCAATTTATGCTCTTCTCTTCTCTGTAGCGAAGAGCTCAACATTGCCAACAAACTTGCTCGTGAATCCCCCTCCTACAGCCACATACGTGCCATTTGCTCTTGCTGCCACTCGTGGGCTCCCTCGTGGCCATAGACATTTTCCTCCCTCTAGTCGTGGACGTAATCAATCTTCATCCTCTACATCATGGGGTGGTCATTCTTCCATTTCATTCTCTCATGGTGGTCGGCAATCCTATTCGAAAATTGAATACCAAATTTGTGGAAAGGGTGGTCATTCTGTTATCTCATGCTGGTATGGTCACAACACCTCATTTCAGAGTTCACCGCAAGCTTATGTTGCCTCTGATACAACTTCGATAGCTAATTGGTTTTTAGATTATGGCTCAGCAGCACATCTGATGTCCAATGGAGCTCAATTATCCAATCAACAACTATACATTGGTTCCACTCAGATACAAATAGGTAATGGTCAGATGCTGCAAATTCAACCAACAGGACAAGATATTCTTCCTACTCCTACTAGCAAGCTCCACCTTTCCCATATACTTCATGTTCCTAATCTTACCCATAATCTTATCTCCATTAATAAACTAACATCCAATAATTCCTGCTATGTTATTCTTGATGCTAATGACTTTTTTCTCAAGGATTCACTGACCCACAAGATGCTTCTCCACAAACACAGTCATTGCGGTCTGTACCCTATTAAACCACAGCTCTTTCATCAGCTTAACCATCCACATCTTCAACAATGCCTACAACATTTGCCTATGTTGCTCCCTCCTCCGATCCGTCTTCTTCGTTGGATATATGGCACCAGCTGCTTGGTCATCCACTCTCCTCCATTTATGATCAGCTTTTTCATAATTTACTTACTCAAACTTTCTTGTATCAACTTTGTCTCACATCTATGCTTGTGCTCAAGCTAAGAGCAGTCATTTGTTGCTTTTACTTTCTTCTCCCTCCTTTACAAATTGTCTTCAACTTATTCACACTGATGTATGGGGGCTCCTATCTTATCAATGAAATATTACAAGTATTTTCTTCTATATGCGGATGATTTTAGTAGATATTGCTGGGTTTATATTGAAAATCTGATCTGTTTTCCACCTTTTTGTAATTTCAGCGACTTGTTGAAATCAATTTCATAATACTATCAAAATTGTGTGCTCTGATGGTGGCTCCGAATGTGTAAATTCCAATTTTAAACTACATTTTCAAAAGTGTGACACGCTTCATAAAAAATCATGCACTCACAGACCTCAACAAAACGGTGTGGTCGAGCATAAACATTGCCATCGATCTCCTCAAAACTATTCTAGCTCTCCTCTTTGAAGCAAATCTTCCACCAAAACTTTGGGTTGACACTTTACTGACAGCTGCCTATCTTATTAATCGAATGCCTCTTTCAACCTCCCCTTCCTCTACACCATATCAATCTCTCTTCAATCTTCCACCGTCTTATCTTCATCTTAAAACATTCGGTTGCCTATGCTATCTTTAGTTTCGCACCAAATTATCTCATATACTGTACCTAGGCTCGGCTTGATGTGAAACATATCCATGTGAAAGTGATTTGCTTAAAGAAGTTTGCACGCTTAGATTTAGAGGCAATAATATGTAAGATCTTATGCGGAATTGAACGATAAGATAAATATTAAGTGATACTTAGCTTAGGTTAATTCACATGCATAGAAATTAAGTTCAAATGATAGTCAGCTTAATCCAACATTGCATACATGGATAGTTCCAACAATAGATTCCAATACTAACACTAAGATTAGTTGCTATGAGAAGATCCCTCACACAACTCATCCAATTACTAGGTTTTAGCGGAGAAGCGTCAATATGATCTTCATGAAGATAATAAATTCACATTCAAGGATGCAACCATGAAGATAGAGAGTCGGGTGTCGAATTTACCCAAAGACAATAGAGATACGTGCTTCGGCAAAGTTGTTTGGTAGTTGGGAATGAAATGGGCAGCAACCACGAACCTCCTCGCACTTCGCCGAGATTAACCTTCCCCACAAGCGTGGACAGCAGTTGGTGGCTGCAGGGAATTCCGTGACAGCAGGAAGTGATGCCAAACTCTCTGGACAGCAGTTTTTGAGGCCTTCTTGGACCCCTTCGTTGCTGGTTTTGGCTTTCCTGGACTGATGACAGCAGCCAATGGTTTTCCACGCAACTAGACAGCAGCTAGGAGGTCTCCCAGGACTGCTTCATGACTGATTTGAGCGCTCCTGGACAGAGGACAGCAACCTGGATTTGTCCAATCAACCGGGCAATAGGTGGAAATGCAGGAAACGTATGTACCAGCCGTTGAGAATCCTTTGACAACAAATTGATAACTGTCAAATTAAGATTGATGGGATTAAATCAATCCTCATTCAAAATTTGAATTGACCTGAATTTAAGGAGTGATTATGGGTCTTTAATGACAAGGATTAATGAGAAAATGGGAGGTTTTAATTGAAATAGAAAAACTGAAATAAATTTCAGTTTTAATTGGGATGGGAGGGAGGTTTAATTGAAATCAATTTTCAGATTTCAAAATTTAGATGGGTTGCATTGATAGCAATCAATGGGAAGCCCAATGAGGGGGCCTGCGGTATGGAGAGAGAGAGAGGGAGAGGGATTTCCAAACATGAATAATGACTAGGAAAATTTTAAATAAATCCAAATTAATTTAATTTATAATTTGAATTCATTCAAAAAATTTTCATAAATGGAATTTCCAAATTCGGAAAGAATTTGAATTTTGAAATTCAAATTCCAAGGAAGGCTAGGGAAGGGAGTCGTGGGGAAAGTGGTGGAGAGGGGAGAGGCCGACGGCAAGGTGGCCGGCCGGTGGAGCTAGGGTGGCCGACGGGATGGGGCTCCAAGGGTGGTGGCACTAGTGGAGGCTTCGGCTTCTTCCAACTCTTGGACTTTGCTTGTGGTAGTTTATGGGGAGAAGAAAAACTATGCTTGAAATTACCTAGAGAACTCACAAAGAGATCTCAAACAAAGAACTCACTAAGAGATCTTCAAGAAGGAACTCACTAAGAGAACACAAGAACAAAAGTTTCCATTCAATAATCATCATCCCCTCTCCAAGAGGAGGGAGAAGGTTTAAATAGCCAAATACATGAAGAAAAATAAAAAGACACAATTGTCATTCCGGCAAACACATGACAAGGCCCTTAATCAAGGGCATAAATGGAAAGAAATAAAAAAGACTCATAAAACATAAAATAAAATATATCAAATACAATAATAATCAAAAGTAGATCGTGGCCGTAGATCATGGATCTTCTGATGTCCTCATCACGGCTCCTTGTGTTTTTCTCGGCTATATGCCACTCAATCAAAATGCTATAAATGTTTCAATTTATCAACCGGACGTCTTCATATTTCATGCCATGTTCGGTTCTATGAAACTATCTTTCCATTCAAGCAATCTTTCCCACCCAGTCTTGCTAATGCCTCATCTGAAAGTCTTCCTCCATCACTTCTTGTTCTGGCCTCTTTCACTTCACATATATCTTTCTCAACATCCAATAACACTTCTACTATTACACCACTTAATGTGACTCCTACTTCCTCCAATACGTCTATGCCTCCACCAAATGAACCCGCTGCCTCGTCCTGCTCTGTCTCGGATGTTGATGTTCCTGCCCAGGACTTATTGCCTACTTAACATTCTATGGTAACAAGTTCACGGACTGGTGCTCTCAAACCAAAGGTCTTTTTTGATCTTCAACACCTTCCTATTCCGACCACTATTACCTCTTTCTCTCAAGCTAGCAAGTTCTCTGTTTGGCGAGCTGCTATGAGTGCTGAGTTTGAGGCTCTACAAAATCAAGGCTCTTGGATTCTGGCTCCGCCCTCTTCAGATCAAAATCTGCTAGGTTGCATGTGGATTTTAAGGACCAAATACGAGCATAACATAAAATTATATGATATTTTTATCAAATAAAAAAATTAACATGTGAAATTTTATTATATTTAAATAGCATGAAATTACATATGCAAAGAAATTAAAAAAATAATAAAAATATTAGCTCTAAAATATGTGATAAAACAATAAATTATAAGAGAAAAAAAGTCGCATGAATAATAATTAAATTGTTGATGTAAAAGAAAAAGTATTAAATACGGGACCTGATTTTTTTTTTCTTTTTCATTGTTTCTGATTTCGTTCTTTTAATTCTTTAATTGATTTCTTAATCGACCCCTTGATATGATTATTATTGCCATTTTAGATCTGATTGAGTTTTTACTTCGATATGTACCGATATTTATTTGTTTCTCCGTTTGTTTTAGCCTCTGATGATTAATAGGGTTGGTGATTGAATGAAGGAATACATACTGATCTAAGTGATCTTATCATTTGTAACCAAAGTTTTTACCAGTTTTTCGCTATTGCTATGATTAATCTTTTATATTAGTGATCTTCTTGCCGTGATAATTAAATGGCTTTATTATTGCACACCGCGAGCAGGATTTTCATCTAGAAAGCTAAGTTTTATAATAAGTTTAAGACTTTGTTTGGGATGGCTTTTTTATTGCTTCTTAAATCAGCTTTCTAATACAAAAATTAAAAATTTTGTGTTAAAAAGTTATTTTAAAAAATAATGAAAAAGTCGTCCCAAATAAAGCCTAAGTCTTTGACCCATTGGGACGGCTTTCTTAATGCTTCTTAAAGCATTAAAGCAATTTTTTCCTATGAAAATTAAATTTTTGATACTAAGAAATTGCTTTAAGAAGCAATAAGAAAGCCATCTCAAACAAAGCTTAAGGCTTCGTTTCAGACGACTTTCTCATTACTTCTTAATTAGCTTTTTAGTACAAAAATTTGTGCACTAAAAAATTATTTTAAAAAGCAGTAAAAAAGCCGTCCCAAATGAAACCTAAAAAAATTCTTTTGTAAATTGCCCAAACAAAATCTTAATTTGATAAATCCAGAAGTTTGGCAGGAAAGAAAAACGCAAAAGTGGTGAGAGAGCATTACCTTCGGATTCGACTTTAGCTACACTGTCAAAGTGGATGTTGTTGGGGGTATTAAAATTATTAATATATTTTAAAATATAGACTTAAGTAACATTTAATTAAAATTTATTAGTTTAATTAATTACTCAATTTTAATTTTTTTTTTATAATAATGGATTATAAGTTATTTTGAAGAGAATATATATTTATGTATCAATAATCTCTCTCTCTCACACACACATAATAAGTGTATCACACACACATTAAGTGTATTACACACATAATAAATTTATTTATCTCATGTGTATTACACACCTAATGATTTTCTTCCATTTGCATATATGCACACTTAATCGTCGACCCACCTATGCCACATCTTATTCTACATGCATACTATGATTTTTAAATAATGTCTCTCCCTATGCATGGGATCTCGTTGATGCTATGTTAATAGTTTGTTTAATTTCATTTGTTTTAAATTAATATCGTATAATTTTATACAGTCTGGGATAAAATATACAAAGTTTCTATCATATTTACAAAGCCTTAAGTTTATATCATCTGCTACTATTTGTAAGTGTGCGGCACAACGAATGTCCTTATGATGTAATAGTTGTTCTAAATGTGGTCTTGAGAGAGTCTCCTTCAAACATGTATTGAAATAATTCCATCAATCTATTAATTTTTTTTATTCATGCAATTTTTTTAATTAAAAATTTATGGTATCCTTGTAACAATCATCTTACAATTTCAAGATCATTCTTTTCACTTGAGCTTGGATTTGTTAATCTTCAAGGGGGGTTTAGAATATTAAATGAGTTTTTTTCAATGTCTTTGATCAATACAATTGAGATTGTCTTTGAATGTTGGTAATAATTTTTTTTAGCTCAAAAATTGCTTGTTTTATTTTCTAATTGTTCATCTTATTTGGTAATTTGTCATTATAAATAATGTATTATTTGCTTAAAATTTGCAAATGTTCAAATAACATCAATTTACAAGTTGTTAAAAATATCTTCATAAAAATTTTTTCAATGAGAACATAATGAGACGACATCATCACCAAGTACTAATTTGTATTTTTATTTGAGATGTTTTATTTTTCAGTTTGAGTTATTTGCTCTTATTTATTATTTTCAAACTAATTTTTTTTAATATCATAACATATATGACCAATATTATTACTACACAAAATAATTGGTTTTATTTTAGCTAATTATTTTAGGCATTTGAATGATACTTATAAATTTTCATTTAGAATAAATATTGAAAGGAGTATGTGTTGAAACAATTCATATGCCAAAAATAAGCATATGCTATAAAATCATATGGATTATAACAAAGTCTACTAATGAGTTGATGTATTTTATTTTTTAATATTTTATTACAACAAGGATTACAATTCCATCCTGTAGAGTATCCAAGAAAATAATTAGCTAAATATAATTAGATAGTATTGAAAAAGTCAAACATTTTTGTTGGATACAAAAAATAATAATAAAAATAAAAATCAAACAAGAAAATAACATCCGTCAATTGATAAGCAGAGTCTATTCTAATCCCTATGATTTTATAGTGTATGTGTAGATTTCACATATGAGTTGCTTCAACACAGACTCCTTTCAATATCTATTGTATATGAAAATTTCTTAGGTGTTATTGAAATGACCTAAAATAAATATTTAATATAAAACAAATTATTTTGCGTAGTAATAATACTGGTTATATATGTTATGGTATTAAAAAATGTGTAGTTTTAAAATAATAAATAAGAGCAAATGACTCAAATTGAAAAATAGAACAGCTCAAACGAAATCCAAAACCAATACTTGACGATGGTGTTGTCCATTATGTCCGCATTGATGAAATTAACATGAAGATATTTCTTAACGAATACTAGAAGATTTATAAGCTTGTAGAGTTATGTTGTTTGATCATCTGTAAATTTAAAGCAAATGCTACATTTATAATGACAAACTACAAAATAAAATGAGCAACCATAAAATAAACCAAGCATTTAAACGATAGAGCTTATAAAGCAAAACTTGAACTCAAAAATAAATATATCATTATCAGCATTCAAAGATAATCTCATTTGTCTTGTTCGAAAACTTTGAAAAAAAAAAACACTTCAATATTCTAAACCCATCCAAAGATCTTGACCATAATGTAGATCTTGAGATTATAAGATATCTATTATAAGGATACCAACAATTTTTAATTTTTAATTTAAAAAATTAGTAATTAAAAAAATCAAAAAGTAAATGTAATTATTTCAATATTTATTTAAAAGAGGGTTTCTCAGGACCACATCTGGAATGCTTATGACATCATAAGGGCATTCCAAGCTATGTTGTGCACTCACAAATCGCCAAGATGATATAAATCTAATGCTTTTGTAAATATGATATAAACTCTATATTTTTTATCTTGACTGTATTAAGATACATGACATTAATTTTAAAAAAATGAAATTAAACAGACTAATTTGGCATTGGTGAGAACCTTTGCATAAGGAGAGAAATTATTTTATAATCATAATATGCATGTAGAATACAAAAAGTAGTATTGTTGTGTCCTGGAATATTTTCGGCGATAGAGAAATATAAAATTTAGTGTCTTAGCTTTGTATAAATATCCAACACACAATTAGATAAAAGAGTGGGTGTAGCGTTCATATGATACACTAGAGTTTTTATATAGAAACACTTAAAAAGGTGGAAAAAACCATGGGGTATGGCCTAGTTTGAATAAATCCACTAGTGTTTGCAATCGATTACAAATGAGGCTTGTTGCGGGCTAGAATATACGCGGTGATAGAGTTATAATTTTACGCCTTAGCATTGCACGGATATCCAGCTCACACACAGAGAACACAATATTTTTTACGTTGAAAATTCGGAAAGGGAAAAAACCACGGGGCCTAGCACAATTGAAAATGATTCAACTAAAATTTGAGGAAAGTACAATGGTCTGACTCGTCCTTGAAGATGACCAGATTACAAATATCAACTGAGAGTTTTGTTAAAGTCCAACGTCACACCACTGTCAGGTGGTGGGCCGGCAGCACTTCGGTGTCAAGCGGTCGATCGGTAGTGGCACTTCAGTGTCAGGGGGTACTTCAGCTTTGGATGGCACTTCGGCGTCCCTTGGTGGTCCAACGATGGTGCGGTAGCACTCCGGCGTCCCTTGGTGGTCCGGCGGTAGTGCGGTAGAACTACGGTGGTGGTGCGGCAGTACTTAGGCGGTGGTGCGGCAGCACTCTGGCATCCCTTGGTGGTTCGGCGGTGGTGCGACAGATCTACAACGGTGGTGCGACAGATCTACAACGGTGGTGCGGCAGCACTCCGACGTCCCTTGGTAGTCCGGCAGTGGTGCGGCAGAACTACGGCAATGGTGCGGCAATACTCCGGTGGTGTTCGAGGAGGAGCTAAGCGGCTGTAGCTTTCTTCCTTCTCTTCCTTCTTCTCTCTTGCCTTCTTCCCCCACTATTTTTGGACGTCGAAATATTGAAATTATACAAGTATTTCTTGGACCTTGCAATATTTGATGTCCAAAAATAGGGGGGCAACTGATATGTCACCAAAAAATAGTCTTGATCCAGCACGAATCTCGAGGCAAAATCAAGTTGGAAACTTCCAAAATTAAAAATGGGATCATCTAAACTCCGATTTAAGCAAATTTATATTCGATTTGATCATCTCAAAAGTACAAACCCAACGACACCAAATTCGACACAATCTAAGCTCAAATGGGTCCAAATCAAAGACATGAAGCGCTTTTGGAAGGTTCAAACTACAATTTGGATTATCAAACAGCTTCCAAACGTGGCATGCTTATAGTCGAATTGAGCTGCTCGACGAGACAAATCCAACGAGTCTAAGATCATCAAATTCTGATATCATTAAGCACTCAAATGTCCGATAAATGCTCTATGATCATAGAAATCAATACGGACCATCTGATGGAGCACTCCAAACCTACCAATGATCTTCTCTATATTTACGGGATGTGTCACTCATGAAAACCTATAAATAGACCCTCACTCTCTACATGAAGGGAACTTTTCTTTAGAAATTGGAGAGAGCTCTTAAGCCACTAGAGCTCCACCACAACCGTCTGGCCGTCGACCATCGCCGGACTTTAGCCCGACATTTGTCGGACCACCGCCCGGCTGCTGACCACCGCCGAACTTCAGCTCTACCTTCGTCGGATCACCACCGAACGCCTCTGGACTTCCACCTAGCAGCCGAGTGACGTCGTACGCTCACCCGACTTTTCTCGGATCTTTCCTAGTCGACCGAACTTCTGCCCGGACACTGACGGATTTCCGCCCGATAGTTGCCAGATCTTGGCCTAACTCTCCAAACTAACGTAACTTGACCGCTCCTAAGTCAAGGGACGGGTCAATATTTGTAATTCACTTAAACTTAGTGGAACTTTTTCACCTGGGCGATGCCCCGTGGTTTTTCCCTCTTTGGGCTTTCCACGTAAAAAAGATTGGGTGTTTTGCTTTCTCTCTTGCTGCTTGTGTGCTTGATATCTGTGCATTACTAAGACAAGAAGTTTACTCACTCTACCGCCGCAAATATCTTAGCCCACAACAAGGCTCTTCTTTAGGGGAAAGACCTTGGCTTGATATAACAAATATACATCGTATAGAGTGCATTTACATGGTGAGAATTGGAAGAATCAGTCTTGACATATTCGTTTGGTTGGCATGACCATAATATATAGCTCTTGTATCTGCACAGCCGAGGGGACAAGAAATTATAGACGATCTCTATAAAACTACTAGAAAAGCTCAGGTGGCCAGTGGCCTTTACCGCGGGGGTAATGATAAGGTTGGTCTAACAACAATGGACAATTATTGGATTGTGAAATTTGAACTGTTAACATTTTTTTAAAAATATCAACAGGGAGCTACCTCTTGCTTTCATTGAGAAGACAAAATAGATGCCTGACTGCATTATTTTCTACAGGTTTGTTATGTACTTATGTGATTGTTTTTTAAGCTTCATACTATGTTTAAGGATGCACCATTAATAAATCAAGGAAGTTTAGTACAGAGATTCACCAATACTTATGTTACACGTAAGTGTTTTCTATCTGCTTCTATTGAGTTATTTTTTCGTCTAAACTTATTGCAATATTTTAGTTTTTTTAGCAGATATGCTCGATGCACGTGCTCGATATCATTAGGTAATTGTCATGAAATATCAAAGGAATTCGACTCAGTCGAGATGGTAGTAATCAATGCGTCGTTGGGAGGGGGTAGGTGTAAAAACCATAAGTGATCCCCTGGGTCGACAATTTTGGGTCTTCGATGCATGCCGGCAAGCTTATTCTGATGAGTAATGCCCCAACTAATGTAAGGCTGTTCTTTCTTGTAATTTTTAATTAAAAATGAATATACTGGTTAATTAACTTAAATTTTATTTAATTATTTACCTTTTTAATAATGGAGTTTAAATTGAACTAATAGATGTACAATTTCATGCTTTAAAGAGAATATTTTATCTAAAAATATGAAATATTAAGTATTATTAACTAAATAGTCATAAAAATTTTAAAAATACGAAATGCATATTAAAAAAAAGGTTAATATATAGTATTGAAATATGTAACACATAATTAAATTTAAACAATAAATATTTTAAACAAAATGTTTCCATAATATTTTTTTTAAAATAATTTAGGCTTTGCCATTTAAAGATGCAATCATTCCATCAAGAATATAGTCCCACATCTTTATTAAATTATAATTTTCACAAAATACCTTCATTTACAAGAAATTACTAATGAGATAAGTAATTTATAAAATAATAGTTGTCTTATTTACTAAGTGAGTATGAATAAAAACAGGACATTATTCTACAAAATATAAAGGTGTTTGCATAATTTAAATTCAATTATAAATTCTAAATACATTTGACGAAATAACAAAAATAAAATAAATCTATGTTTTAAAAATGTTCTAAGGAAAAATGATTCAAACAATTTTGCATTCTATGGACGGCAATGATAGGATCTTCAGCATAGGAAGATAGAGATCAACAGAATTATAAGATTTAATATTGACCCAAACTAAGAAAAAAAATAATGGAAATTTAAATTAAATATGTTTAATTTATATTTTCTTTAATAAAGTGACGAAATTTATAAGTTTATCACTGTGACGATTTAACGACATAATTTAATAGTCCAAGTTTATTTTAAGATTTTCAATTAAATTGTAAGTTAAAAAAATATAATGATTTTTTAAAATATATTCAAGATATTGAAAATGCATGCTAACAAAAGATATTTAAAATTATCATTTATAAATAAGAATATAAAGATCCATATAAATAAATTTAATCATACATTTAAAAATGAATTTTAATAAATTTGCAGAGTATGTTATAAAATTAAAAAAATTAGGGAACGCATACCTGATTATAAAATAAAAAATTGTGGATCTAATATTCATTGATATTACAATTTATATTATAAAATACCTGAAAACAAGAGGACTGATCAAGTGCACAACATAATCTTCTCACCCTTTATGATAATTTTCATAGCATATATGGTGCTTAACGTCCTCATTTTGCTTGAATCTAAAATAATATACAAATGAAAGAGAATGATGCAAAAATTATAAAAATAACATATTTTTTACATGGAACACCTTGGGGTATGACCAAGTTAAATTTAATACCATATTTTTTACCTGGAACACCTTGGAATACCATATTTGTTACATGATGTTACACAAATATAATATTAGGAGACGTGTTTCTCCAGTTAATAATTTCAAACTTATATAAATTTATATATGAAAGAATTAAGGATTCTATATGCAAAATAGGAAAATGTTCTAAATTCATTCTCCTTAATTAAGGTAAAATAAATCTAGAGTATGATACGTAGCCTATCCAATGCTAAAAAAATAGGAAAATACGAAAAAATTTCCTAATGATATGGTGGAAGTGTCCAGAAAAGGCAGACTTAAATTGGGAATTGATGAATCTGATGAAGCTATTGTTTTTTTTTTTTTTATATACATGTATCTACTGATCTTGTTTTCTTTTTTATGGGGAAATTTTGGGGCATAGCCCATTTTATTAAAAAAAAATTACAAAAAACAAACCAAATAGAGAAAGTAACAACAAAGCAAAAGAAGAGAAAACTGGAAAAGTAAACTTCATTCTATACCAGGTATAGAATGAAGAGTTTTACTAAAACAGTACAAAAAGCTAAAAGAGCAAGACTAAAGACCAATAGATTTCAGAGAAGAAATGTTAAACCCCTTCTTAAAGACCAAAATCATAGCCAATGAAGATGAGCCAAAAACTATCTCCTCAGGGCAGAAGACAACCAGTCCAACAATGTTATCCACAGAGAGTGCCAGTTGGGAGGCTTCCAACCGTATGATCATACCAGCAGCGGACCAGCATAACTTCTAAAGCTGTAATGTTTCCATCTTAATTACAGTTCTTTTATGAAAAATTTAAGTTTATTCTGACATTTCATTTTTTTTTATTATTATTGAATAAGCAGATCAAAATTCATGATACGCCAATCTTATGAAGCTATTGATTTTTTTCTTATAAATTAATTACAATATTTTATATGCTTGATCAGGATACACAAGTCCTGTGAAGCATTCACCAATCTTGTGAAGCTATTTTTTTTATAAATAAATTGCAGTATTTTATGTACTTGATCAGGATTCAACTTCTTAATATAAATGGAATGAGGCCACATTTTAGATGACGGGACATTAGGCAAGTTAGTACATTTGATTTTAAATTTATTCTTGAACACTATTTTTTGTTATTGCACTTATATATCTTATAGATCAACTACTTTATTGATGTTTGAATCTTGTTCTTAAGTTTGATGATTCTAAAATTTCTTATATGGACATTTTAATTGCCCTTATAGATGGTCAGGAAGAATAATCACAACGATGATAGTTATGTTAACAACTTTGATATATATATATATTGTAATTGAATTTGTCAGGTTTGAAGCACGAGTGTTATGATCACCAAAGATACTTAACTTTCTAATCATTATATTTATTATTTTCTAATCAGTTCACTCACCTGAGTTTTGGAGAGTTTCAATACTTGAACAGCTTCTTCCACCTTTGCAGCAAGTGCATCAGGCGACTCCAACAGCAATAGCAATTCGGAGTTATCCATCTCCAACAATATCCCAGTTATTTTAGCAGACAGATCTGCCTGCATTAGCCGCAACATAATTTCAATTAATGATCAAAAGAGCTAAGAAGTGTTGTAATAGCTTGCAAAATCAAAAGGCTCTATTAACTTTAAAAATATATTTATTGTATTTAACTTTAACAAGTTGGGTTCTGCTCGTATGGCTGCTTCGAATGACAAAGACTTGCAGGGCACAAGTCGGCCTGCTCATTATCAAGCTCTCTATGATGAAAACAATTTTTCTGCGAATGGGGTGCAGATATTAACCAACAATTTATGCTACACCTAAGGTGTTGTATATATTTGTTACTATTGAGTTATTTTTTTGTCTAAATTTATTGTAATATTATATTTTTGTACAGATTTGCTCGATGCACGCGCTCAATATCAGTAGGTTGTTGTCATAAACTATTCTTTCCATACTCTTGATTTTTATGTTGAGATCAGGCCTGTGACCTGACCGTGGATGGAAAACCTTCCTCCTACTCTCACTTGGGCTCGAATCCCCTAATCTGCCTCTAGATTTTTGTGATTGACTTATTTATGAACATTATTAATCTTGTTTTGCAGTTCCTCCAGCATACTATGCACACCTTGCAGCTTTCCGTGCTCGGTGTTACATGGAAGGAAAGAGTGAATCTGGATCAACTCAACATAGGGGAGTAACACGACAGTGAACTGCGGCTATTTCAACGCTTCCAGCAATCAAAGAAAACGTCAAGGATGTGATGTTTTGTTGTTAAAAGATAAGCCATGGATGATTTAAAGAACTATTACCTTTTAGGTTTTTTGTTGTGCTAACAGGGATATAGTTTGCGCTAGCATACGTAGAAATACTTGGATGTCGCAGATATCATGTCTTTCATTGTTTTTGTAGCACATTATTTTGAGTTTGCGATACATAAAATTTGGTTTGAATCTTTCTGTTCTTATTCTGGTTTTGGTTGGAAAGTCTGAATTTTTTTTTTTTTTTTTTTTTTTTGGGACAGTGCAATTTTTTGGGCCTGTTGTGTCCTAGAACTGGAGTCCGCACAGAACAATTTCTCCTAGAACTGCCTTTCTTTATCTACTGTCTTATTTTTGGGATTGGTTTTGTTCCTGGTGGCAACTTCATTGAGTTGATTTTGTTTCAGCTCCAGAATTTATTTTGGCTTATGGGGAATTAGATAACGATGAGTGGGTTACATTCGAATTTTGTCTCTTGGACAGTTGCCCCAACAACAAACTCTGATTTTCGATAGTGTTTCTAGCAACTAAGGGGGCTATCCTGATCGAGTTTTACGCTTCGTTTGGGATTATTTTATAAATCTTTTAGCTAGGTTACAAGAATTATATATATTTTTTTCCTTTTTTTTTTATTTGTTACTCTCCTACTGGATTTTAGTTACACATGTAACTTTTTTATAAATTAATGAAAATTTTGTGATGAAAAAAAAAAAGAAAAAAAAGTGAAGGGTTGAAAGTCACATTCCAGATTCCTTATTTTACAAAAAATCAAGCGAATTTCTCTTGTAAATGATGTACGCTTTATACTGATTCTTTGGTATATTAGTATCTTCTGGATTAAGAAGATTAGTTGAGTTTTTTTTTTTTTAATGTGATTTTAGTTTTATGCACCAAATATTATTTTTTAATATAATTAATTTATTATATGTTTTAATTAAAATGTAGGAGTTTGGCTTGTTAAAAAAGGAATGCAAAGGAACATTTTGATATTATTTGAATGAATGTGAAATAAATATAAGTGAATGCTTTTTTTATATATAATTCGATTTGAAATAAAATAAATGTGAAGTTTAAAGGTGAAGATAACAGTGAGTTATATTAGTTGTGGTTGTCGGTGGTGGAGGTAGTGGTGGTGGTCTGTGGTGTTGGTCGTCAATGAAGATGGTGGCAATGGCTTAGGGGATTAGTGGCAATGGCGATTGGGGTCAGCTTTAAGCAAGGTTGTTTGTGGTGAAAATAATTTTTATTTGAATTGAGAATTAAAGATTAATTCTTTGGGCTTCGAAATTACTAAAGTTGAATTAAAAATATTATAAAATTAATAGTACTGTTTGTAGAAGTCTCGAATCCTATACAGAACAAGAGAAACCTACAGGAACTAGCAAGAGACGATAAGAACAGTTTGTATGAACATTCATTTCATTGATTTCACTTGTACAGTGATGAGTTTATATCAAGATTAACATATCATGGAAAGTACTGAACTACCTTTGGGTAGCTACATCGCAGAGCCAGTCAGGGAAGTGGAGAACCACGGTTGCAGATAGTAGGAAGCACAGCAAAGTCATTATGTAGTTGTTTGGACACAATTAGTATGAGTATCATTATCAGCTCCCCGCAAATGGATGGGAGGTTCGACCATCAATTTGTCCCTGAGTAGAATGAGACGTTGAGATGACAGAGATTTAGTAAATATATCAACTAGTTGGTCCGGTGAAGCAACATGTTGAACAGTGATATGTTGAGCTTGAATGCAATCCCGAATAAAGTGATGGTCTATCTCTATGTGCTTAATTCTGGCATGAAATATAGGATTTGAGGCAAGTGACATAGCTGAGATATTGTCACAATAGAGGAGAGTTGATTTTTGGGAAATAGAGAAATCTTCACATAAACGACAAGCCCAAATCAAATCAGCAGTAGCCGCGGCAAGTGCTCTATACTCAGCTTCAGTGGATGAACGAGCTACGGTGGTTTGCTTTTTAACCGACTAGGAAATAGGAGCATTGCCGAGAATAATGCAAAAACCAGATGTTGATTTCCTGTCTTGAGTATCACCAGCCCAATCGGCATCGGCATATGCATAAAGTGTTAGATCATCACCGGAAAGAAATAGACCATGATTTACGGTTCCTTTAAGATAGCGTAGAACTCTTTTCAACAGTTGAAAATGAAGAAGCAAGGGCTGATGCATAAATTGGCAAAGTTTGTTGACAGCAAAAGCTATGTCCAGCCCGGTATTGGTAAGATATTGAAGTGATCCTGTAATTTGCTGAAAGAGATATGCAGCATGGTGGTGGAAGACGTTGAAGCCGTGGCGGCGGCGGCGACGACGACAAAGACAACGAAGCCCATTATGGAAGGGATATGCAGCATCAGCCATCGCACGGGGAGCGTGGCGGTAGAGGATGAGGCAGGGGAGGCGGTGCGTCTCCTCCTCATCAGGAGAGAACGATGGCTATTGATTTCCAATAATCTTCGTCAACTACTCTAAGTAGGGAGTGGATCCTCCAGCCTTCAGGCACCTACGCCGGGAACCCCATATAGACCTCCAATGGAGGCTCCCTCAGTGCAAGCATATGCGGCTACCGGCACTTCACTCCTGCCGGCGTCGAGCAAGGCTATGGTTCATACGCCTCGTCCGGGGTTTGGAATAGCCGGGATGAAATGTAAGGTTCGCGCTAATCATTTCCTAGTCCGCGCCGCGGATAAGAATATATCTCAAGCTCTTTCCTATTCTTGTTTTATCAGTGTAATGCAAGGTAGTGAAAGTAGTTATTGCGCGGGCTTTGTTGTCGATATTTCTCTCGTTTTCTATCAGCGACACTCGTTTTTTTTTATTATGTGTGATTTCATTCTTTCGATATTTTAAGTAACTTATCATACGACTTCATGATTTTATTATTTTATATTTGTTTGAGTTGCTTATTTCGATATGTAGCGATATTTATTTGTTTCTTCGTTGGTTTTAGTCTCTGATGATACATAGAATTGTTAATTGAATGGAGGGGAATACTTACTGATTTTATCATTCATAACTAATGTTTTGACGACTTTCTCGCTAGTCTACCGTTATGAGTAATCTTACTTTACTACTCTTTTAATTTTTAATCCTTTTAATACGATTATTTTTAATATTTGTAATTTAATTTATTAAATAATTATTATATATAAAAAATACCTCCCCCAATCTCTCCTTTTCTCAATTATTCTTCCAGATTGGAGGCCCTCTTTCTCCGTCGTTTTATCTCTCTCTCTTTCATTATCTTTCTGCATGCCATTTGATTTTTTTTTGTTTAAACTCAATACGCCAACTGATTTGGCTTATTCTGAATGCGCCAAATCATTCAGCGTATTCAGAATATGTCAAATCATTTGGCTACTTTGCTCCTTTTAAAATTTTTTTAATATGTTTCTTAAACTAAATTTAATAAATAATATGCTTCCTTCTAAAATTTGGTCTTTCCCAATTAAAAATCCTGTTTTATTTGACATGTGAGATCTTTTGTTTATTTTTAGTCTTTTCTTTTATAGATTTTTTTTTCTTATATATGGGCCCTGTCTCAAATTTTTCAAAGAAAAAAAATACCAATCCATTTAAAAGACAAAATATGGCAGGTCATCCGACATCAGCTAGGAAAGCTGTTCGACATGTGCCACCTGGAGGCTTCTTTAACCACCAATCTATTTAAATATAAAAGACCAAAAAAGGCAGATCATCAGTACTAGGAAATTATCAGTCTTTAGAAGCTGTTTGGCCTGTGACACCTCGAGCTTCTTTAACACGGTCTCATGTGATTTAGATCCACAAATCGCCTAGACGTTCTGCCCGAAGAGTGGTTTGATGTCTAGTCGCGGCGGTGGAAGACGTGGAAGCCGCGGCAGCGGAAGCCCATTACGGAAGGGATATGCAGCATCTACCATCGCACAGGGAGTTAGAAGAACAGCTTCATATCAGTGGATCCTCCGGCCATCAGGCGCCTACGCCGGGAACCACATCCGGACCTCCAGTGGCGGCTCCTTCAGTGCAAGCATCTGTGGCTACTAGAACTTCACTCCCGTCGGCGTGAGCAAGGCTCTGGTTCATGCGCCTCGTCTGGGGTTTGGAACAGTCGGGTTGAAATGTAAGGTTCATGCTAATCATTTCCTAGGATAAGAATATATCTCAATACAAGTCGAGGCTGCTCTTTCCTATACTTGTTTTATCAGTGTAATGCATGATAGTGAAAGTAGTTATTGCGCGTGCTTTGTTGTCTATATTTCTCTCGTTTCCTATCAGCGACACTTGTTTTTTTTTTCTTTTTCATTGTGTGTGATTTCATTCTTTCGATATTTTATTTAACTTCTCAAACGACTCCATGATTTGATTATTTTATATCTGTTTGAGTTGCTTATTTCGATATGTATCGATATTTATTTGTTTTTCCGTTTGTTTTAGTCTCTGTTGATACATAGAATTGTCGATTGAATGGAGGAGAATACTTACTGATTTTATTATTCGTAACTAATGTTTTGACGACTTTCTCGCTATTCTACTGTTATGATTAATCTTACTTTACTACTCTTTTAAATTTTAATCCTTTTAATATGCTCTGGATTGATAATCACTTGGAGCAGATATAATCTTACTTTACTACTCTTTTAATTTTTAATCCTTTTAATACGCTTTGGATTGATAATAACTCGGAGCATTAGGGGCTTTTTGGATGCAGGATTTAGCCTAAATCCTGTCAAACAGCAGAAATCTACGTGTGTTTGGATGCCTTTGTTATCGATGGTTTCCTACTCAATTGTCTCACAAACTTGCTCCTCGCTCCACCCCTTGCATTTTCCTTGGATATGCTTCCCAAGCCAAAGGTTACAAATGTCTTGACATTAGCTCCAACAAAGTCTACATCTCAAGACATGTTCAATTTCATGAAAATAATTTTCCTTTAAGGCAAAATACCACACCTGTCTCTACTTCCCCCATAAATAATCATACAAATGTTCCACCGCCTACTCTTGTGCCTGTTTCCTCTATAACACCTTCAACTAATCAAACTATCTTCATAAATTCTCAAACCTCATATCTACATGATCAATCACCTGTGTATTCACTCTACTGATCTTATGCCGAGTAATTCCAATATTCATTCCTCCTCAAATACTACTTTGTCTAGCATTCCTACACATACTATCCAACCTAGGTGTTGACCTTATTATTTGAGGTCAAATTCCCTAAATCAAATCTCTCGCATCTAGGTCTTCATAGTCTAGTGTAGACGCCATGCTTATAAGATTTCCCTTAGGTGGATACCAACTGACGTAGCATTGGCTCGACCCAAATCAAACCAAAACCATTTGAAGTTCATATATATTAAATTCATGAAATTCCACACTAATCAAACCTAATTTTATTAAATAGCCATCAATCAAAACTCTTCGATATAAATCTACACAATATCAAGTTTAATCGACTCGATTCGAGTTTGAATTAATGTAGATGACTCTAATCAGCCATTAGATCACTCTTAAATCAAGCTTTAATCCAAACATTTGATTTTGAATGATGAATAAGGACAGAGTAGTAATTTTGAAGGCATTTGGGTTGTTAGTGGGTTTGGTTCGGGCAGCTCAAGATCCAAACCGCCTACTTCTCTTTCATTTTGCCAAAACTGCTCTGGCCCCGGCTCCGTCTCCCATTCATTTTGCGGAAACTGCTCCGGCCCCGTCTCCATCTCCCATTCATTTTTCGCAAGAACCCCAGCCCGCTCGCTCTCTCCCAGTTCGCACAGCCCGCCCCTCTCAGTTTCCTCAAGCTCGCGAAACCCCCCCGTCCCTCTCTCTCTCGGCTCGTGAGAAGACCCAGGCGGAAGAAACCCCTCCCAGCCCTTCGCCTGTTACCAGTTCGCAAGAAGCTCCCAGCAGGTCTCCCTGCTCTCTTGCGACAAAACCCAGGCTCTGATCCCTCTCTCGGTTCGTCGTCCCTCTATCCCGTCGCAAGCTCTAGCCGAGCAGCCGAAGCCTTTGCTTCCTCTGCCCTAGCGGACGCATACAACCTTCCTAATCTTGGGTAATTTCTTCTACATCCTCTCCATCTTCTTCTTCTCTCACTCTTGTTTGATTTAAGTCAAGTGTTAAAGAGTTGAATTTTGATTTTCTAAAAAAAAAATCTGAAGCAAAATTTATTTTCTCTCTCTTGGTAATTAGAAGAGTGATGAAAATCCATGGGAATGTATATAAAATACGTACCCTGCCATCTTACAGTACGGTTTGTTAATCACCGTGCGATTGCTGCTATAGCATCAGGACGGTTGGTTGCTAACCAACTGCTCTATACATACTTTGGTATCACCTATGTAGATCATACGTGAAGATGAATAGTAAAGTTACAGACTTCTGATTCTTAACATCTTCATTCTTTATTCTTTGTTCTATGTTCTTAGTCATTGTAGGAACAGCAGCTCGATCATCATTACACACCTAACAATTTTTCTTCAACGCTTAATCCTCAACTCACCTAAGCCACATCTTATTCTACATGTACATTATGATTCTTAAATAATGTCTCTCCCTAAGCACGGGCTCTCATCAAAGCTAAGTTAGTAGTTTGTTTAATCTTTTTTTTTTAATTAATGTCATATAAATTTATACAGTCGGAACAAAACATACAGAGTTTCTATCAGATTTACAAAAGTCTTATATTTATATCATTTACTACAATTTGTGAGTGCACGGCAAACGAATGAACTTATGATATCATAGCCGCTCAAGAAGTGGTCCTGAAAGAGTCTCTTTCAAATATATATTAAAATAATTCAATCAATCTATTGATTTTTTTTATTCCTATAATTTTTTAATTAAAAATTTATGGTATGCTTGTAACAGTCATCTTACGCTTTCAATATCATTTTTTTCACCTGAGTTTCGATCCTATGATCTTCCGAGGGATTTAGAATATTGGATGGGTTTTTGCTGAAGTCTTCGACCAACATAAATGAGATTGTCTTTGAATGTTGATAATGATTATTTTTTTGTCAAAAAATGCTTGTTTTATTTTATAATTGTTCATTTTATTTGGTAATTTGTTATTATAAATAATGTATATTTTGCTTTAAATTTACATATGTTCAAACAACATCACTCTACATGCTTAAAAATTTTTTAACCTTTGTTAAGGAATATTTTCATAAAAATGTCATCAATGAGAACATAATGAGACAATAACATTATTAAGTATTGATTTTGATTTTTATTTGAAATGTTTTATTTTTTTAGTTTGAGTTATTTGCTCTTATTTATTATTTTTAATATATATATATTTTCTAATATCATAACATATGACAAGTATCATTGCATTTATTTTAAGTATTTATTTTAAGCATTTGGATGACACTTATTAAATTTTCAAATAGAATGGATATTGAAAGGAGATCGTGTTGAAAGAACTCATGCCAAATATGAGCAGAAGCTATAAAATTACTGGGATTACAACAGAGTCTACTGATAAGTTGATGTATTTTATTTTCTCGTATTTATTACAACAGGGATTACAGTTTCATCATGTTGAGTAAATCTGTCCATGAAAATAAATGTCTAAATATAGTCATATATGATTGAAAAATCAAACATTTTTGTAGGATCTGAAAAGCAATGACAAAAATAAAAATCAAACAAGAAAATAACATATGTCAACTGATAAGCAGACTCTGTTGTAATTCCTGTGATTTTATACCGTATGCACAAATTTTGCATACGAATTGTTTCAATATAGACTCCTTTAAATACTCATTATATATGAAAATTCTATAGGTGCTATTCAAATGATCTAAAGTAAATAGTTAAGATAAAACCAATTATTTTGTGTAGCATTAATACTGGTTATATATGTTATGTTATTAGAAAAAAAGTGTTGTTTAAAAATAATAAATGAGAGCAAATGACTCAAACTGGAAAATAGAACAGATCAAATTAAAACCAAAACCAATATTTGATGATGGTGTTGTCCATTATGTCTGCATTGATAAAATTAATATGAAAATATTCTTTAATGAAGACTAGAAGATTTATAGGCCTATAGAGTTGTGTTATTTGAATATTTGCAAATTTAAAGCAAATGCCACATTTATAATAACAAATTACAAAGTAAAATGAATAATCATAAAATAAACCAAGCATTTAAACAATAGAGCTTATAAAGCAAAATTTGAAAAAAAAAATTATTACCAACATTCCAAGATAATCCCATTTTTGTTGGTTAAAGTCTTTGAAAAAAAAAACCCACTTTAATACTCTAAATCCCTCGGAAAATCACCAGAACCTAACTCAGATGCAAAAAAATAATCTTGAGATAGCATGATATTTGTTATAAGGATACTAAAATTTGTAATTTTTAATCAAAAAAATACATGAATGAAAAAAAATAAGTAAATGAAAAATTTTCAGTATCCATTTGAAAGAGAGTCTCAGAGGATCACATCTACAGCAGTTATGACATCACAAGAGTATTTCAAGCTGTGTTGTACACTCACAAATTATCGTAGATGATATAATCTAAGGCTTTTTTAAAATATGATAGAAACTCTATATTTTTTATTCTGACTGTATAAAGTTACATGACATTAATTAAAAAAAAGAAATTAAACAAGCTACTAACTTGGCACTGGTGAGAGCCTCTACATAGGGAGAGAAATTATTTTAGAATCATAGTATGTATGTGGAATAAAAAAATAGTATTGTTGTATCCTGGAATATTTGCAGTCGATTACAAATGAGGCTCTTCTTTAGGGAAAAGGCCTTCGCTTGATATAACAAATATATATCATATAAAGTGCATTGCATGGTGGGAATTGAAAGAATCAGTCTTAGACATGTTAGTTTGGTTGCAGGACCATAGCATATAGCTTTTGTATCTGCACAGCCAAGGGGCCAAGAAATTATAGATGATCTCTATAAAACTACTAGAAATGCCCAGGTGGCCTCTGCCGGGGGGGAGGGGATAATAAGGTTGGTCTAACATCAATGGACAGTTATTGGATCGTGAAATTTGAACTGTTAACATTTTTTTTTAAAGTATCAACAGAGAGCTACCTCTTGCTTTCATTGAGAAGACAAAACAGATGCCTGACTGCATTATTTTATACAGGTTTGTTATGTGATAATTTTTTAAGCTTCATACTATGTTTAAGGATGCACCATTAATAAATCAAGTTGCGATTATTAAATGCAGGGATGGTGTTAGCGAAGGCCAACTCAATGATGTTGTTTTGACAGAAATTGATGCTATTTGCAAGGTTATTTTCTCATTATGTAGTTCTCTGTGACGAAAATAAGTTTAGTGCACAGATTCACCAATACTTATGTTACACGTAGGTGTTTTCTATCTGCTATTGAGTTATTTTTTCGTCTAAACTTATTGCAATATTTTAGTTTTTTGAATAAATATGCTCGATGCACGCGCTCGGTATCATTAGGTAATTGTCGAAAGTTTAACTATATATATATATATAATTTTTTATTTATAATAATTTCATAGTTTTAAATAAATTCTTATTTTACTTGTGATGAGAAAGCCGAAATAATATTCGTACATACTCGAT